GGCAGTGGGTGTGGTTTGGGCTTTGTTTCTGCGAAGACTGACAGCCTTGGAGACCCTGTGGGCAGTTCCACTCTGTCCTCTAGGGGCGCTGTGGGTCGGAATGGACTCCACGGCAGTGGGTGTGGTTGTTTGGGTCCCTGTGCTTGCTGTTCCCGGTACCTGGAATGCCATCATTTCTCTTTCAAAGCTTTCGCTGCAGTCCCCCCTTAGTGAGAATAATGGGCATGGTGTACTGAGGTCCACATTGCGTGTGACTTGTGCTGGGTGCTGCATGTGAATGTGACCTGGATGCTGTTGGTGTCACAGGCAGGTTTGTGTCTTGGGTAACACCTGAGCCCAAGTGCTAGTTTATCAGAAGCCAGAGTTGAGAGACCATGAGAGGTAGAGTTGGAGAAAATGTCCTGGAACCATGGCTCTCCAGCCCTCCTGCCACTACTGTAGTAGCAGCTGCCAGCTGCCAGGGGCTCAGTCATGCCTGCACAGTTCTAAGGGCTGCACGCTTAGTGACGCCTCCAAGTACTTGAGATGCCCTAATGTGGTGACTGCTGCTCTGGTCCGTATTTTACGTGTGAGGAATGGGGGCCTTGGGAAGGTAAGGAACTTACCCATCCTGTTGGCTGAGTGGGAAGGCCAGCTTAGGGCCCAGGCAGTCACTTCTGGAGTTCAGGCTCTCAGCACCCCAGAAACCACTACCATGGTGTACAGCCGTCTTGGTAAGTACCACCCAACCTGGTCCTCGGGGCCTGGCTGTGACCACCTGCTCTCTGTGACAGCCGCCTGTGCAGGAAGTGGCTTTTCACTTACCACCCTGCAGGACCTGTGCTCTGCTGTGGGCTTCACGGGTTTTATGTTGTGTTCCTAGCTTCTTTTCTTCCCTCTGTGGGGAAACCTTACTGTCACATACTGAGGAACTGAGTCCTTCTTTTTTGTCTTCTTCCCTCAGCACTGTGCTGGCAATTGCTGGAGAAGACTTCTCAATTGTTGCTTCTGACACTCGACTGAGTGAAGGTTTCTCCATTCACACCCGGGACAGCCCCAAATGCTACAAACTGTAAGTCAGTCTTGGGACACAGTTCTTCCAATGCTCGATTGAGTGAAGGGTTCTCTCTTCACACCGGGGATAGCCCCAAATGTTACAACTGTAAGGAAAGTCTCAGGGCACGTTTTCCACCTCCTCTGCAAGGCTGAGGAGCTCTGGTGGTGTAGTGGTTAAGGCATTTCCCTGCTAACCAAAAGGGTGGTGGTTCAAACGTACAAGGTACTCTGCAGGAGAAAGATGGGGCAGTCTGCTTCTGTGAAGACTGACAGTCTTAGAAACCTGGTGGAGGTTGCTATGAGTTGGAATTGACTTGATGGCAGAGAGTTTGGTTTGGCTTGGGTTGTAAGATTGGTTGCATCTCAACAGACATGAGTTTTGGGGTTGCTGTGGGGAGCTTCTCTTGCACTTTCTAGATACAGCCGTCTCCTAACTCAGTGTTTCCTGCTAACTCATTTCCATACATTGTTCTGATAATTTGTCGCATCCAGATACCAAAAGTGCCATGTTCACCTAATTTTTTTTTTATCCTGAATGGTGAAATGAGTTCTTTTGTGTAGCCTTTTGCTTTGGTTTAGTGAGAGGTGTCGGGGGCAGCTTGGGAGATTTTCCCCCAGCCTGAGGGGTTATTCCAGTTGCCTTAGTTCTTTGGAGAACCTTGTTGCTTGCTCAGGGAAGGTGCCAGCCCCTGCCCACAGGACATGGCAGTTACCATGTCAGCAATGGAGCCACTTGCTGTGCAGCAAAGAGATTGGTCAGTTAGCAAATAGTGCGTTGAAAATCTCCCCAGTAGGATTGTGCCACTAGCTCGTATAAAGAGTCCACCCCGCGGAAACAGGGTCAGAGACGAGGAGAGGTGAGAAGCAGAGAGAGAGTGAGCTGGGTGCCTTGGGGCAGAAGGCGTGCCAGTGGGCGTCTTGTCGGGTGCTCTCAAGTTGGTCCGCACTCATCTTGTCCCTGAGGGCGACAGGACGACACGCTGCTCCAGCGCCATCCTCGCCGTTGCTGCTGTGCTTGAGCCCTGCTGCAGCCGCTCGGTCCCTCTCAGTGAGGGGCTTCGTCGTTTCCACTGACCCTCTGATCACCAAGCATGCTGTCCTTCTCCAGGATTAGGTCTCCTGAAAACATCACCATTCTTGCTTCCAAGGAGCATTCTGGCTGTACTCCTTTTTTTTTTTTATCTCCCTGACAACTAAAGTTCTTCAAATGTTTCTTAGTCCCTGCAGGCCTCCCCACACCCAGCCTTCCCTCTATGTGTCCCTGCTCCGCGCCAGGTGGGTAGGGCTTTGAACTGGTTCTTTTTTTAAAAAAAAAATGCATTTTATTGAAATACAATTTTATGTACAGTGAAATATACAAAACTAAAGTGACATGGGTCAATGCATTTTCTTTTTCCAGTGTTCCCACCCCTCCCCTCCCACCCCTGGCAACCAACAAAAAAAGTTTCCCTCCATATATAAACCTTTCCTTGACCCTCCACAATAACGAACTAATACTATATTTGTCCTTCTGTGATTGACTTCTTTCACTCAGCATAACGTCCTCCAAGTTCATCCATATTATGCAGTGTTTTGCAGACGCTACATGATTCTTTAGTGCTGCATAGCATTCCAGTATGCGTACGGACCATAGTTTGGTCATCCACTCTTCCGCTGATGGGCACATAGGTTGTTTCCATCTTTTTACTATTGTAAATAGTGCTGTGATGAACATGAGCGTGCATGTATCTGTTCCTATCCTGGCTCTCACCTCTCTAGGATATATACCTAGTAATGGGATTGCTGCATCAAATGGTATCTCCAATTCCAACTTTCTAAGGAATCGCCATATTGCTTTCCACGGTGGTTGTGTCACTTCACAGTCCCACCAGCAGTGTATGAGAGGCCCAGTCCCTCCACATCTCTGCCAGCATTTGTTATTTTCTGTCTCATTGAACCTTGCCATCAGTGCTGGGGTGAGACGGTATCTTGTTGTTTTGATTTACATCTCTGATGGCCAATGATTGTGAGCATCTTTTCATGTATAAGTTGACCACCTGAATATCCTCCTTGGTGAAGTGTCTATTCATGTCTTCTGCCCATTTTTCAATTGGATTGTTAATTCCTTTGCAGTTGAGGCGTTGGAGTTTTCCATCAATCTTAGAGATAAGTCCCTTGCCAGATATGTAATTACCAGCAAATATGAATTTGTTGCTGTCATTTTTGTCATGTGCTTTTTCATTGTGTCGATTTCTTTGTTCCATATAATTTTCTATGCTGCGCTCGTTTTGTTTATGATTCATGTTATCACTTCATTACTATCATTTTAGTATTTACTGAATATTTATGCTGGTTCTCTTTTTTATTTTAATGTGAAGGTTTATAATTTTTCTTTTTTTGTAATCAAGACAATTTATACTTTATATTTAAACATTTCACAATCTTGTAAAACAATTTAAAAGCTTTTTTTTTTTTTTTACAAAAAGCAAATACAGGTTTCTCCTCTTCCTCTCCCCACAGAATACAAAAGGCAGTTCCCAGGAATAGGAAATTATTTTATCATTGAATGAAATCTTGGAAATCTATTGAAACAAATACTGTCTAGAGTTTACAAATACAAATAGAGTTGTGAATTATTTTACTCCAACCCCTTTGTTTATAGATCCTACGGGATCCAGCTTATTTAACCACAGTAACACAGATTGGCTAGCTGTCCACTAAATCTGTTTCCTTGTCCTCCTGGGCACACAACTAGACTATCATTTGCCAACATTCCTTGCACTTAGGTGTGGCCAGTGGAATGTGGGCCTAAGTGATAATATGAACCACTTCCAAGCCTGGCTCATTAAAACTCTCATGCATAATAGCCTTAGTCCTTTAACCCTCCCATCTCCTAGAAAGAGAGATGACTCCCAGGGCAACTTTGGGGACCACACTTTCAATACAGCAGGACAAAAGAAGGAAGGAGCCTGTGTCTCTAAATGACTACTTGGAGGAGAACTTCCCAACCAGGAGCATTGGCATTAGACAATCGTATGAGTAAGAAATAAAGTTTTTGTGTTAAGGTACTGAGATGTTCATAGCTGGACACTGTTAGAAAATCTATACCTTGGGGGCAACTCTGGCAGGTTATGTAATCAAGACAAATTATACTTTATATTTAAACATAAAGGAGGGTTTATAGCTTCTAGTATCCATTTCATTGAAAGTCTTCCGCTTATTCACTGACCCTCTACTTTACCAAGTATGATATCCTTCCCCAGGGACTGGTCCCTTCCAACAACAAGGCCAAAGTAGGTGAGATGAAGTCTGGCCATTTTTGCTTCCAAGAAACACTCCAGCTGCACTTCTACCAGGACAGATTTGTTAGTTCTTCTGGCAGTCCATGGTACTTTCAGTATTCTTCACCAACACCACAATTCAAAGACATCAACTCCTTCCGTCTTCCCTACTCATTGCCCAGTTTTCACAAATATATGTGGCAACTGAAAATACTGTGGCTTGGGTCAGACGCACCTTAGTCTTCAAAGG